ATCAGTTACTTCAAGATCTCGACGATAACCCACCCAGAAAGTGCGTAGAATCCAACTGCGAAGAAGAAATGCAAAGCAAACACGTTTTACTCGAATGAACCATGCAATTCGTCGAGGTTCCTGAATTTTGCTTTTCTCGTTGTGTTTGTGATTTAAGTAGTAGTTCGGCTCGACGACGAATACCGCTTATAGAATAAGATAGTTACGTTTGATGACAAAGTTTTTCTCTATATCAGCATGCTCTATGATTGATGGAGGCGCCCGGCGCGTGGCGCGACGAGCGTATTGAAAAAAAAGACCAATGGCGACAAGTACTATATGGCGAGAGCGTGCGTGAAAAGTATCAAATAAACAATTTGGTATTGAGTCCAATCAATTATCCTACTACGCGTGATTTACGTCCTTTCCGATCGATAATCAGTTAGGAAGGGCAAACACGTTGAAATACTAATTTTTTTTCCTAATTTTCAAGATTATACTATCGCTTTACGTATTATCTTGCAAAATTGATCTGTATCCTTCTTCCCACTTTAAAATCAATAGAAACTGCGTCATTACACGAATCAATTATGGCGCAAAATAATCAGGACAACTTTCTTCTCGTAAAACTTGACATCAATTGTTTATATCTCGATTAATTTTCCAATTAAAAAATCCTTTGGCACAAAATTCTATCTTCCAGAGCACTATCGATGTATAAAATTAAAAAAATTTTCGATTTTGGCACAAAATTCTATCTTCCAGAGCACTATCGATGTATAAAATTTAAAAAATTTCTGAAAGAGTTGTCTAATTCGTTTCACGAAGACTAACTCGTTATCGAATCGAAGAATGAGATAGTTTGTCAAAGTGTAACATCAAATGTATTATAAATGAATAAGGAATGATTATACTAAAAAATAAAAATGGTAGAGTAATTATGTAATATAGGAGAGCCAACCTCTGATGATCTTGACTTTGACATATATTGTCAAGGTCATATAACATGAGAAAGTCGTGCGCTCCTAGGCAGGGGAAAAAAGTGAGATGTTTTTAATATTATATGTCGAGAAGTAAGACGTTATTTCGTAAAATTTTTTGTTAATAACTTTTTAACGAATAACGAGCGACTGCTAAAATCTGTTAGAGGTTATTCAGGTTCATGACCTATTTCTCTTAATTGGCTCTATCACGAATGGTATTTGTAATTTACTATTTATACTTACGAAAACGTCAAGATGCTGAAAATGTTGGCATCCACTCTGGGATTATTCTTCACTTTCTCGGTATACGCTTTCCTATGCATGATGAGTGTGAGTCTTTTCTATAAATGTATAACGGATCTTCAATACACACATATATCCAGATAACCAGCGTGATGTAACATATACAAACTAATGCATTATGTTGTACCCATGGTATGTGATGGGCACAGAGGCAACAATTGGTCAAACAATTTCTACAATATCATTAAACTCACGTATTAATCTGCACATTTTATAATATACTTCAGACTTAAGACCTTTAAGGACATGTCATCCAATTGATAATACACAGAGAAAAATGTCTGGATTTTGTGTATTATCTGTATATATCTGTTATGGATATTATATCGATCTTTTACTGACTTTGACAAAAACTTTAATTAACCAGTGAGTCTACATCGAGTACTATATAATCAAATACAGTCGGTGCTGACCGATCGTATTTTACAAATTTCTTGATTCCGGCGTAGCCTTTGCAATTCATTCGCGTTTTCGGAACTATAGTGAAAGACTTTCAGCGTTTTACTTTTATTTGACTTCTGCAAGCTTATATTTTCGCAATCTCCTGAAAGAATAACTACGAAATATTTTCGCAATTGTCAGGTTATTAACCATTCTAAACCAACCTTCAGTTTATTAATCTGCAATTACTAGGCTGTTACAATATTCTTCAATAATTTCAAAAAATGCTAAAAATATGATATTTAAATTTATATATTCTTTAAAAATTAAAAAAACTTTTTTAATTATTTTATATCAAAAGTTATTATGTAAACAATTCTTCTATTTAGACAATTAAATATTCTTAGTTCTGTTACGTCCGGTGGACTCCACGATTTCTTCGTTTCGCGACCTTTCAATCAATGAAGTAAGATATGAACAAACCCAAGCGATAACACAAATCCGAGAGAAGTTTCCAGCCACAAGTCTTGTTTGCTTAGAATCGAGAGACCCGCAATAAAAACTCTCTCGTAGT